TCCCCGAGCAGGCTAGACTCTGGGCTTCGGCGCCTCCCTCCGTGCTGAGCGGCAGACGGCTTGCTGTGGCCGAGCCTGCGGGGGAGGGGCGGCCTTACGTGACTCTGTTTGTAAGTAAACGGCCACACAGGCACACTTTTGTTTCCAGGCTGAAAGGATCGCTTCTCTCTTTTGCAGGCGGTCCCTCCAGGGTTCTGGTCCCCGCCCGCCCGGTACTCGGCGCCTAAAGACAGCTCCGGTTTGAACCCATGCAGCGCGGACCCCTGTGAAGTAGGTGGGGCTGAGCCTGCCCCCCCGCCCCCCCGCCTTCGCTGCTCACCCTCTGCACGGCCCCGCCTAGGACGCTGGAGGTGGGCAAGGGGCCGAGCTGCCGGTTCTGCACCACTTACTCTGGTGCAGGTCTGGAAGTCAGAGAATCGTCCGCGGTGAGGAGCACAGAGAGGATCCGTGCAGACCCCACTGAGCAGACAAAAAGGCCGGGAACGTGGGGTGGGGCGCAGGTGAGCGCGGTAGTGGCTAGACCTGCAGTCCTCCGGCACACACCGTCCCGGAGCGTGCAGGAGGTGAGCCCCACCTCTGTCTACAAGGACCTCAGCCAGCCCTTGCAGTGGACGGAGGAGAGGAGTGGGAGTGGGAGTGGACAGATGGAGACGGGAACCCAAAATGGGGCAGCAGAGGGTCAGGTGGGGCGCGTGAGGGGCGTTAAAGTGCCAGGGGAGCAGGAGGCTGCCTGCAGGGCGAATAAATGGAAGTTTCCAGGTCTGAAGAAGCGGAAACTTAGGTTGTCTCCATGCCCCTTTCTAGACTGCGAGTCACGGCTGGAGAGGCAGGGTGTTGTCTCCTCTCTCGGTGTCCTGAAACCCTAGCCCATATCTAGCCTTTGCAAGAAGTCGATAAACGATAAATACAGGGTGTGTTGGCCCTTCCCTGTAGCCCCAGGCTGTGGGGGCTGAGCCGGGAGGATCTCTTGAGCCCAGGAATTTGAGGTCAGCCTGGGAAACATAGCAAGACCCTGTCGTAAAATCATCAGTGACGGTGGAGTGCTAATCCAGATGCTCAGCACTCATTAGGTGCTTTCTAGGGCCTTCTTTCCTCAACTCCAGGTTCTGCTTTAACACTCACCCACCAGACCCATGCCGCCAGCCAGGCCTGGGGTAAAAACCTCGCGTGTTAATTTGGAAAGCCCACGCAGACCAAGTCAGGTCAACGGGAGTGGGCCTGCCAGGATCTGCTGACCCAGAGACCCTGGACTGGCTCTCCAAGAGGCCTGGCTTCTTGTCTGTGCCTCAGACCAAAAGAAAAGATATGTCAGCAGCCAGATAGTTGTGTTTAGGTCATTGGTTTAGGCTTCAGTCTGGAACTTTGTTTTTTAAGTTATCCTAGAAAATCTTATCTACATCTATTTTTCTTCCTTTAGTTAAAACTTTTTATGACTGTATTGTTAGAACTGTTTCCTTGGTCTTAATATAGCTTAAGAATCTTGGCGCCACATCCTTAAACTGCTAAAATTAAGAAAGCTTAAAACAATCAAAGCTTTTTACCATGTGCTTAAAAAAAAACAAATAAAAGAATCAGGATAAAGGATTAAGTTTGTCCTTTCCTTATTTCTAGACTTGTTATATGAGGTGTTCAAGTTCAAATGTCTATATCAAAATAATTGCTAAAAATAGACACTGGGTAAATATGCCAAAGTAAACAAATAGAAAAAGTCAAATCCTGTGGCAGCTTCTTTTCATGATGTTCTTTTTTTTTTTTTGCCCAGGCTACTTTGGCAGCCCCGTGGAGGCTGGCTGCTTTAGAGACCACAGCACTCAGAATAAACTTTTTCCAAACTAGGCAACATGTGGCACAATCTCCTCCCTGGCCCCACACCTTCCATGGTGCGTTTTTCCTGCAAGGCAGTGATAAAATCCAGTTCTTCAGTTCATCTTAATAACTCATTGTATTAACACATAGATTCATTGTATGACAGGTAACATAGTCACATCGAGGAGAGAAATTTTCAAATAAAAAGAGAGGAAACATCTGTTTCCAATTGTCAACCTGATTCATTCTTTGTTTTTTGCTTTTTTTGCCCTGTGTTTCCTGTAAATCAGTCCTCTCTCCTCAAAGACCAGAAATTAAAATTTTCACTAGATTTTAGTGCCACCTTGTGGCAATCTTTATGGGTTTGTTTTTCTTTTAAAAAATTATTTTTTAAAGAAAACCTTTAAAACAAGCAGTTCATGGTTATTTTACAATCTTGCACAGGATGTAAAATTCTAAAGACAAGTAGATCCTCTAGAAATTCATATATACACATAAGCTCATCAATTTACAAATCTGTGGGCTGTATTTCCCCCTAATTATAATGTACACAATGTAAAACAACGTTAACCCCCAAATCATCTGATTTTCCCAAGTTAAGAAACCCATTGTTGGAGATTCCGATCAGTTAGCAGGAACAATTAGGTAACCAGTAAGAATCTGCTGAGAGGGGCTGGGGATGAGCTCAGTAGTGCCACGCCTGCCTGGCAAGCACAAGGTCCTGAGTTCAATCCCTGGTAGGGAAAGAAAGACTTTCCTGAGAGCCAGCAGTGAACATGCCGTTGGATCTTCAGTGTTTTTCTGATTTAAAGAGTAGCTAAAATCTCTCAGAGAAATTGAGACTTCCACCTCGCTTCAGTGAGCTTTAAAAGCAGAAAAGTCCTTCTAGACCTAGCCATACTAACTCATGTGGAGGAGCTGAGGCAGCCGGTCTGACCCACCCGGAACGTAAGTGATAAAGCTGCAGGCAGTCTCCCTGCTTTCTGGGGCCTCCAGCTAAGAGCAACCACAGGGGAAACAGCTTTATCCGGCCAGCCATCCGGCCAGCCCGGAGATTGAAAGCTGGTGCAGCCCGGCGTGAGAAGGCAGCGCTCACAGGAGAGTGTTCTACTCAGGACACCTGGCCTCTCTGCCTTCCATGGCCCAGCCTGGAGCAGTGGGAGCAGAGTGTGCAGCGGCCGCTAATCGCACGAGGCCAGTAAGTGCTGGAAATGTCACTAGTGCCACCAGGGAACTGAATTCCTAGTGTTATTTCATTTTAATTAAAAAATATATTCAGGGCCAGGCTCAGTGGTGCTGCCACCTGCCTTCCAAGCAGAAGGTCCCGAGTTCAATCCCCTGTACCAAAAACAAGCAAACAAACAACAAAATAAAACATATTCAGTTCAGTTCTTGGCAAACATGAGTGGGTTCACAACAACTTGGGTAGGTGAATCTATCTTTTTTTCAGCTGGAAATTTTGAAATCTAAATATAATTTTTTAATGAAAATTTAGTGACCACATGGAGATATGCAGTAACCATAAAATAAACATCAGAATTTGAATGGAGAACATGCAAAAATAGTTCACTAACAGTTTTATTTATTTATTTATTTATTTTTTTTTTTTTTGAGACAGGGTCTCACTATGTAGTTGAGACTGACCTGGAACTCACTATGTAGCCTAGGCTGGTCTCGAACTCACAGTGATCCTCCTGCCTCAGCCTCCCGAGTGCTGGGATTACAGGCATGTGCCACCACGCCTGGCCTGGCCCAACTCTTGTTCCCAACACTAGGACTTGTGTTCCTGGACAGCAGTGGCCGCTTGGACCTTCGTGCATTTTGATCTATTTTCCTTTCCAAAAAAGAGGGTCAAAATCCAGATGTCTGTCCAGTTTTTGTAGCAAAGTGATGGGTATGGATTCTCCTCAGGAGCCTCATGGGAGCCTCAGTCCTGTCAGTTCAGTGACATGGATTGAGGGGAGAGAGAAGGGGAGACAAAGGCACAGATGACTGGTGAGGCACAGGGCGATCATGTAAGCACACACGTGCACGGTTGTGTACGTGATGCTATGAACATGGAAACCAAGGACGGACACAGCTGCACACGCAGGCAGCATTGCAGAGGGTTTTCAGTCACAAGTCGAATTGTTCCAGAAGAAAGAGTGGCCCATTTGCACCACCTGAGACCTTTCCCGCCTGGATTAATTCCAACCAGAGCCACTCAATAGGAAACAGGAAGCAGCAATAGGCAGAAGTAGAAAATGCACAAAGTTCATGCATTTGCCAGGTAACGTTCATCTTGCCCCGAGCAGGAGAGGGCAGAAAGGAAGGAGGAAGGTCAAGAGAACCTGCTGTTACAAAACCCACCCCAGCAACGCTTGCCAGCCCTGTGGCACACGCGGCAGTCACACATGCACACTTCTGTTAACGCACCCAAGCCACGGGAAGGTGCTGCGCAGAGAACGGACGGGAGAGAGCCTCGTGCTGGGAGGCAGAGGAGCCACCTTTTAGCCTTTCTGCTTCCAAGGTCTCAGTTGCCCCATTTGTGAGACGTGAGGCACAAGTAGAGGACACAGGGCGGAGGGGGTGTGTGTGTGTGTGAGAGAGAGAGAGCGAGAGAGACATTAGGTGCTTGCCGCACCTTCAGGGAAGTGCAGAGCGCACCCTCGCCACGGG